AAATGCGACAACTCCAATGGATGTATTTACAATGTATACAAACCAGACAGTCCAACAGGGGACATGGGGGTGAAGGGTGTGTGTGTGAAATGGGCAATAGCAATAGCAATAGCAGCTTCATTTATATACCTCTTCATACTGCACTAAGCAGTCTCTAAACAGCTTAAAACTGTAAACTAATTGCCCCAACCAGCTGGGTATTCATTTTAGCAATCTCAGAAGGATGCCAGGCTGAGTTGACCTTGAGCCCCTGGCTGGGATTGAACTCACAACTTTGTGGTTTGTGAGTGAATGGCTGCAGTACTGGCATTTAACCATTGCACTACCAGGACAGCTATGGGGGCCTCCATGATTGCCAATGTATCACTTGCACACTGATGCACCAATGTGGCAGGGCATCGCATGTGCAATTGTGTGGCCAATCAAAGGAGTGGCCATGAAATGGAATGGCATCTGGGCAGGATGTGGGAGGCAATGGGAGGTTGCAGGTGGTGTGTTTGTGCAAAGACGCACGTGCATGGTGGGGGAGACAACAACAAAAAAATCCCCAGTGGCATGACCATCTTGTGTGGTCTGCTTGTGGGAGTGGGCCTTGCAGAAAGAGAGGTTCAATCTGCTTTTTGGAAAAATACAGGATCGAGCTGCTTTTTCCTGCCTGTCTGCTCTGGCCCTGTGTGAACAGCAAATCAAAGAGCTACTGGAAAGCAGATTAGCCAGTCTCACCATGTATATACTCATGTAAAGTCTAGAAATTTTAGTCAAAATATTGACCCCAAAAACCTGGGTCGACTTACCCATGGGCCAATGTATATAAGTAGATATATACAAGTATATATATGTATGTAAATACTGTACTTTAACTTAAAAAAAAAAAAAGAACCATCCCATCCTCTGAGCCAAGTGGCAAAAGGCGAGAGCTTAGTCTGTCCTGGAAGCACCTAAAAAAAGCAATGACCCCCCTCTAATATCTCATTCATCCAGCCTTCATGGTGAAAACAAACAGTTATGCCTGCCAGAATTTTTCAAATTCTTTGCCGTAATTTCCCTTTACTTCATTGCTTACATCCTTTGTTACAGTCCCCTAAGTTTTACCCTCAACTTATCCACAGGTCATATCAAAATCCATAATTTTGACTCCAAAAATTGCCCTCAAGTCAAGTATATATGGTATAACTGCACGGCTTACCTGAGCTGGTTGTTTAATTTTACATATGCATATTGTTAGTTTTGAATAAAAGTTTACTGAAACATGTTGAACTGCTCTTATTTTGGGGACTGTAGGAATCTATCCTTATTCCTTCTGTTTTATATCTGCCCCTGGTACCAAATTTTCTGTTAAAGAAGTAATGTCCAGGGACACATTTGCTTTGTTAACAGAGGTATGCCTCTGTTAACAAAGCAAATGTGTTCTGGGCATTACTTCTTTAACAGAAAATTTAGTGCAAGGGACTATGAACGAACCTTTCTTAAATCATGTACCAATGAATGTTGGTTCAGCTGGCCTTGGTCAGCACTCCCTACATCACTAAAACCTAATTCCCAAAGTGGGCCTGGATCCAGTAATGTGCCTCAACCAGTAGTTAAATAGTTATTAATTTGCTGTTTAATATTACTGTTTTAATTGATAAGTAGTTTAATTCATTTTTAATGTGGGGAGTGGGTCATGTTATTTTAAGCTGTGTATATTTTTAGCCTTGTGAACCGCCTAGATTGGTCCGCCACCGGGCAGTATATAAATTATTATTATTATTATTATTATTATTATTATTATTATTATTATTATATAATTCAAAAAGGTCACCACAAGTAGGGATGCACAGAACAGTCTTCATCTAGTTTGTGTACTGCTTTCCTGGAGGGGAAAAAACAGCCTCACACAGAGAAAGTAACAATCTGGATAGGTATTTTATATGACAATTTACATATGCAGCTATTTCAAAGAGGTAGCCATGTTAGATTGTTTCAATACAAAAGAGTCTTGTGACACTCTTACTTTAGCATATGATTTGGTGAGTTCTTGAGGTGAACAATGGAGTCCAGGCCCCAGAGGTATCTTTGCACAGTTACACAGGTGTGGTAACAGCATCAGAGTGAAATAGGATAATGAAAATGACAATTGTATTATGAATACTAGTCATAAACCTTCAAAGAGATGAACAAAGGCAGGACCACTGTTGCCATGAACAAGTTAAACCAGTGGTATTCAAACATTTTACCCTTGGGACCTTGCAGACATCACACACACTTGATGTAGTATATGAATAAAAGTATGTTTATTTAGCGCATGCGTTTTCATTTGCACATTCATGTATAGTCATTAACTTAACATTTTATAAAGAAATAACATCATTCAAATTATAACACTTTTATTTCAGTTAATTCAATATTCAACTCAGAGCATGTGTACATTTTACACATAAAGTTTGGGAAGAGGAGGAGGAGGAGGAACAGAGCCTCCAAGTCTTTCACCCCTCTTGAGCAACGCTTGCACTCTTTGGGGGTTCTGTTGGAGAACCACCGAGTTAAACTATACACAAGAAGCTGAGGGGAAATTATACAACGCAGCACTTTACAAACCCCTGTCTTCAGAGCCTCCTGAAGGTTAACACAAGAAGCTACACAACCTGATGAAAGAATTCCCACAGATGTAAGAAAACATGGTCACAGCAGGGAACCTTTTGCCAAACATCTTCTATCTTGGGGTGGACAACTGCATAGGGACCACTAGTCCACCCCACTCCCCAACACTCCAAGGCCACACATCCCCAGTGCACTAAAATATAATATAATATAATATAATATAATATAATATAATATAATACAATAATAATTTTTATTTCTTTCCCACCTCTCCTCAAGGCTCAAGCGGGGGTGGGGTACAGCATGTTAAAATACAAAACACAATTAAAAACACATAAATCCTCAGTCAAAACACAGCATTATAAAACCACCAAAATATAGTTGGCCCTCCGTTTTCACGGGGAATCCATTCTGGAACCCACCCACCCTGCAAAAATGGAGATTTGGGAATATTCAAGCCCCATAGGCTTGAATGGGGTGCCCCCCCCCCGCAGGCGCACCCCATTGATTTCCATGGAAGTTTCCTCCGTGAACATGCAAATCCGTGGACTTTACGTTTGCAAGAAAGGAGGGGCTACTGTACACTCATAAGAGCTCATAAATAAATTAAAATTCATGATTTCAAACTGACTGGGTAGGCCAGTCACTATCTCCAGTTCTCCCTCAAAATGGTAACCAGAAGTGACATTTGTTGGGAAAACTGATGGAAATTAATGTACTACACAGGACAGGGAACCC